ACAAAGCATATCAAAGGTCAGGCTCTTTTCCTTGGGTTTAGSCATCTCGGAGAGGAGTCTTAGGGACCTACGGGACCACACATGTTTCTGAAATAAACTTCCAAAGGAAGGAAGCAAGGACCTTCGTGTCCCAGTATTTGGAGTCTAGGTACATGCCTGTCCATTGGTGTGACATTTATGTGAGGAGCCAAAAGTCACCCTTGGTTGAAAGCCAGACACTCAGGGACAAAGCAAGGGGCTGCTCGAGTTCCCGCTGCCATCCAAGGACAAGCTCTCATTGACGGCAGCCAGCTCTGGACCAGGCCCCAGACACGCCGAGGCGCGACGGCTCCGGCCAGCACAGTTTGCCCGGCGATGCCAAGGGAAGCATAAGGCATCCTCGTTTCAGTCGAGCCCAACTGGTGTCAGCGAGTCCATCAGATCCATCCTTCTAGCGTACGTGACAGCCTGGCAGCTGCCAAATACCTCCCTCAGACACCTTTCCGACAGCTCCTGTTTATTTTTAGGGCTGCTCTTTCCAGACCAGGCTCAGATGCGTATCACAGAGTAGAAAGGGAGGCTGGGGGAGTGGCCRAAGGAAAACGCACCCTAGGATTCTTATAATTTTTCTTGCCTATCACGCAGTAGCTTTCTCGAGGACCTCCATCCCTTATCTGCCCGTGTTGGGACTCTTCACCTCAGGATATGATACTGTCGCCCATGAAAGCCATGGCAAGGAGCAGCATCGCAGTGAAGTCAGCTAATGAAATATTGAAGTACTGAAGCCCTCGCTAGAACACATGAATGTCTAATGCCAGTTCCAATTAATTTTGAATTTTTCATTAAACCATTATTAAAAGCAAGAGGACATCAGAAATAAGGGAAATTGACTTGGGCAGTGTATTAAGTACTTTAGTTTTGCTGGGGGATGTTTTATTATCTGTCCAAAGCAATTATTTCGCAAGCTCCTGATGATTTGTGGGCTAAACAGAGGCACAGAACAAAGTTTGGGATGGCCTTCCTCGAAGTTATTTTAATCCCCTTACCCTGTGCTGCCTCGAAGCCTCCTTAGGTGACGTCTCTGGCATGTCCTATGTGACTGGAGGACCAGACACGGAATTTGGAGGCTCTCATAATGCACCACTCCAGCACTATTTACAACTTGCATAAACACTCAGGTAAGCTTTTCTCCTACCATGAGGGCAAACGTTCAGAAAAGACACGCAAACATCCAGAGAAAYGTTCATTAGGACAGCCAGAAAAGCCATTTAAAACCCAGGAGGCTACGAGATTTTATTCTTTAAGAAACAAAGCAAYAGCATTTACAAAACGTCGTCTCCTCCTCTCCTGCTTTTCAAAGCTTCTCTTATCCTATTGACTAGGGCAAAAGAGAAACACCTGCATAAATTAAGGGCTTCATTAAGATGCCTCAAGTTGGGTGAGATGATCCCAAGCCTTATAATACTTCCCTGTAATGCCAGAATAGATAAAGACACTTATTTTTTTAGCCTTTTGGTTGCAGTGGCTCTGATTTGCTGCTTGATAAGCTACTTATTGCTGAGGAGGATAGAAGCCAAGGGGGATGCTGCAGGAGATAAAGGTTCCTTCATTTCTTGGTACGGATCAAAGGGAAATTAGAGCAGCTTGGGAAAAGCTGGCCTGAGTCCCCAGGAGGAATCTTTGGGGAAACCAGCCTGCCAGCGCTGACCTTCACAGAATATTTAAGGTTGGAAGGGAYCTCTACAGATCATCTAGTCCAACCTTCCTGTTCAAGCAGGCACACCTAGAGCATGTGGCACAGGGTGGCATCCAGGTGGGTTTTGAAGACCTTTCTGGCGAGGGTGCTCCTTGTTTGCCTCCTGAAACTTTCTGATCCCAGGACTTGCAGCCAATAATGCTGAAGGCGAGGGATTTTCCAGGGATGTTTGTCCAGCATGGGAAATTCATGGCTGGGAGCAGACAGGTAGCAAGGGATGACACATGAGAGGCGACTGCCCTTGCCTGGCCTCCGCCTGCCCGGGACGCAGGGGCTGCCACTCGGCTTGTGCCGCGCTGCCCCATGCCCACGTGCCCCTGGCAGACACAGTCCCTACCCCACAAGTGTGCCCCGGCTCTCAGGTGACTGACGTGCCGGTGTTTTCCCTCCCGAAGCACTCGGAGGAACTGCGGAATTGCTTTGCAGATAAGCAGGATGAGAAGGGCCCTTTCTGTCACTCAGCACTTCCCTCCCTCCGAGACGTGCTTGGCTCTATAATGACCGGGCTCACTTTATATGTGGAGTTACATCTACAGCGAATGGACAAAAGGCTAATAAATGATTAATAAACGCTTTGAAAAACGGGTAATTAAATGCAACAGCTTTTAAAAGTCCAATGGATAAGCACAAAGCATGTAAGCCCGAGTGATAACGCTTTCTCCTGATATAACTTATCTCCAGCACACTGCTCACATCAGCAGCAGTGCTTAGAAACGCTATTAACTTATTGGGCAGAAGGAATAAAGGGAGCTTTTCAGTGCAAGAGGAGCACTTCTCCTCCTGGGGATAAGGGCACATTCCTCATTGTTTAGGCCGTTTAAAATCCAGGGAAGCGGGGAGGTGCCGGTGGTGGCAGATAGGGAGGTGTGAGTGACAGGAGACAGTGACAATCTGGCTGCCAGCGGGGTCCTGAGCTCCCAGTCTAACTGGTCTCCCTGCTTCACTCCACTTAGCCCCAGGTTAAAAATACCACCAAAAAGGGGCCCCAGAGTGACCCTGATTTCATTCTCCCCGGTGCCATGGAGGATTTCGGCCACTGGCGCTGCTGAAGCGACCAAGCCAGGCAGATCCCGATGCAGTGTCAGAATCACGCTGCGGAAGGACCTACAATTTCCCCATCTGGGCACCCAGCATCAATGTGGCATTACTGGGAGCTGCTGGGTTGMATGACTGAACCTAAAATGGGCTCCAAAAAAAAGCAGTGGATATTCTGCCTCGAAGGCGCAAACTTGCCTGGTTTGAGCACCCGCAAGTTTTCCGAGCAGAAGTTAGATGCGAGTTGGTGGCATTTTCTGGTAGAAAGGGACATGGGAAGGAAAAAATAAAACCCAGTAACGCACATGTTAAATGAACCAGTCAAGTGCAGACAACGGAAAAGCTGAAAAATGGATATAGGGGAAAGCATTCTGCAGTGGTAGTTATTTGTCGACACAGTTCTTTATAACTCCCCGGATGGGAGATTCATGACCCTGGGAAGGAGCCGGGGGCCTCCGGGGCTTGGCCCGAGGCAGCCCATGACTCACTCGCTGCCAGTTTGGGCAATAAGCTGAGAAGCAAGATAGCAAAATGCCTCGTGGAAACAGCGAAACAAGAGACAAATGAATTAATGGCCAAAAGAGTGAAAAATATCAACTGTGCACATCGTGGAGGATGGCGGAGAGAGGCAGCTCACGCTGCAGAGGCCTCCGGAGGAGACGGCGGCCCCTCCATTGATTCACGGGCAAAAGAAATTCAGGATGCCTTGCTCTTAAAAGGTGAGGTAGGCAGAAATGGGAGATCTGAGGCTTTACCAGCCATTCCACCATCAATAAGCAGCGGCTGSAGGAGGAGGAGGATCTGTGGATCTGCATTGCCATCTAACGGCGAGGGAGAGCCTAAAGCTGCCGGCAGGTCCCAAAAAGGGCCCGAGTGGCCAAGTCTCCGAGGAGGGGACCCCCATGGCAAGGGCCACACTCTGCTCTAAAGGCAGATCCTTCTCGTTTTCCCAGGGTTTTCCCAGCGAAGGGGATACGGGCAGCCTGGAGAAAGGATGGAGCCCAGGTCGAGGCTGCTAGTCCTCGCAGAAGATGACACGGTGCTTGTACAACCCGTATTGCACCTTCCCAAAGGAGAGGCCTGGAGGCTCCTTTCTTCTCCCTGAGGCTTGGCCACACGCTCCTTCCCAAGCCGGGGAATGGCCTCCATGTTGTTCCAAAGGGGCACGGTGAATTTTGGGGCGTTTCTCTTCAGTTCATGAAGGGGTGGGAGGAAGGGATCATCCCCGCGCTAAGGGCCGCGCGGGATGACGTGTTCCCTGGCGTGCCTTCCTGCGAGTGTCTCTGAGTCATGTTGCTGACTGGATTAGAAAAGGATCTTCTGGATGCAGAAGGACGAGAGAAAAGGAGTCTAGTTGGGCAGSCAGCGCTCCAGCCCCAAACCCAAGGCACAGAGCGGCCGCCTCTGCCCCCATAAGGAAGGGGGAATTAAGACGAGGCCRTGAGAGCGGCTTGAAACCCACACTCAAGGTGCCGGGTCCCAAAGCTTCAGCTGCAGAAAACCCGCGGGCCCCAYGGGCCTCGCTCCAGGATAGAGCTAAATGGCGTGAGGTCGACCCCAGGCTGCGAGGAGCAACGTGGGCTGCCCTGGCAATGTATGCTGTGGTGCTCATTGGGATGGTTCGTTATTTCTTAGAGTTTTATTACGATTCAACATCGTTTTCTGCAGGCGTTGCCATGCTTAATTGAGCGCCTTGTCCATCTCCAAAGAGCAGCTGCAGCACAGCCCAACAGCAGCTTTTAATGCGGCTGCTTTGTCTTTCACTGTTCGAATCCCAGCGCTCAGACAAGCAAAACAAAACAAAACGAAACAAAGGGCGAAAGAAAGACAGAAAACGGGAAAAAAGACAGCCCAGCAGGAGACGCTGGAGCTGAGGCCACGCCCCCGGACCGAGATGGCCACGCCCCTTCGCTGCCCGCGCGCAGCCTTCTGGGAGCTGTAGTCCAAGCGCGGGCCGCCATCTTGGCACCGCCAGAACACCGCCCCCCAGGGCGCTGCTCGGCCGCCATCTTGGCGCGCTGAGGGAGGAATCGCTTYTTGCGAGGCTGCGCCTGGGGAGGGAGCCAGAAAGGGGCAGAAAACACTTCAGAAAGGGGCAGAAAACAGTTCAGAACAGGGCCAAATCCCTGTGGGTTTTTTTTTTCTGTTTTTCTTGTTTGCGTCCGTGTGGTGGAAAGATGTTGCAGATTTGGGAAGGTCCTAACTGCAGAGCAGGTCTCTTTGCACCATCCAGAACAAGAGGAGGACGAGGARGAGGCGGCACCTTYATACAGCTCAGTGATGACTTAACAGTGCTCATCAGGCCACAGCTTCRGCAGTGATGTTCAATTCTCTACGTATTTAGTAAGCTAATTTTCAGAGGCACTCAAATGCACCAGAAGGACCTTGGAGCTTGAACTCCCAATCCAAATCTGCCCTCTTGTATTATGGTTATTTCCTTAACACAAGTCTCAAATGCATATTTTCACAGCAATAATTTTGTAGTCTCATGCCGTACACTGAAYGCTTTTATAATGCAAATTTAGCTACCTCTTGCATACAGCCTTGCCTAATGTGGGGATTTATTTTGGAATAATCTAAAAGAATCCTTTCTTTCGTTGCTGTTAYGCTGTTTCATAAGAAGCTGGCCCTATCTGCTTAGATTCCTTGGGCTGTTTAATTGCTCTGCAAACACTGAGGGGTGCTAATAAGCTTTCTTTTGAGCATGTGTTCATATGTCAACACTTTAGCTTCTGTCAGAAGCTTAAAAATGGAAACAGTTTTCTCTTTAAGAAAACAGGAGCCAAATAAGGAGATGATGGAGTGGTGAAGCTTCCTCTGGTGAGTCTGTTCCAGCTCATTCCTTACAAAGGCGGCACATGAAAGATAAGAGAGGAGGCCAGCAAATCTGGGGCCTCTGTTTAAAACGCTCTACAACCTCTTGAGCGTATTTGCCGTGGGACTTGGCTGGGCACAACTCCTTTCTCTGCCCAAGTCTTTTTAAAAAAAAGACATTTAAAAGCTCAGGCTACTTCTTGCAGTTGCGCGACAGGCACAGCCCATCCTCGAGCGAAAATGGAAGCCATCAAGAAAAAGATGCAGATGTTGAAGTTGGACAAGGAGAACGCGATTGATAGAGCAGAGCAGGCGGAAACGGACAAGAAGGCAGCCGAGGACAAATGCAAACAGGCAAGTAGAATTAAAAAAAAGAAAAAGCAATTGTATATATGATGTGAAAACAAGTGTAACGTAATATTCTAAATTGGTGATTCAGAAAGAATAACTTGAACATGTTTTCCATCCATCYTCTTTTGAAGCTTTTGACTTTTTATGATGTTACACCTGTACAACCAAGATTATTAACTGATTTTCTCCACCATTTGAGGCCTTGAAAAATCAGCGCTATCCACTTATGTAATTGCATGAATTACCTTGTGCTTGTAATTGCATGGAAAAAAATGACATCATGGATTCAAAATCAAGGCTGCCATGCCTATAGATGTGTTAATAATTCCWGAAACCTCAGGTACATCTGAAAAATTACAGAGCCTCTTGAACTTAGGCCCAGCCCTGGTATGTGCAGTGCCAGTGTTAGAGCTGCCACCTTGACCTGAGGTTGGGTACATTGTCATACTTCATGTCTGGAATAATCACAAATATCTGGATATGAAAGATCTTATTTTAACTGACTTATCCTGATAAAATTTACATRTTTTTCTGCTTTTCTTTATTTTTAATTCTAGGTATGTATTTCATATTTGAATACTTTGTATATGTACTGTATACTGTTTTGTGAATATGCTGTAGCTTCTGTTACGTCTTCCAGACTGCTCTTACGTACTCTTAATATTCATTTCTCCAAATACTGCTTCCTGTTCAATTTAAGATCCTTGCGTGGTGTAAGTAAATGGCCATCCGTGTAGCTAAAACAGCAAGGAAGAAAAGTTTCTGAACAGCTCAGCTGCTGTTGTCTTCCTGTTTTACCCCAAGATAAGCAACTCTTCTTGTTTCCTACTTTATTACGGAGAGCTTTTACTACCTGTGCTCGTCTCCAGGTACAATACCATCGTGTGGACAGSCGCAGGGTTTGCACCGGACGCTGTCCCTAGCTCATCTTTCTGCGCTCAGTGACATAACAGCCACAGCAGTTTGTTACACGGTGAAGTTAATGGTGATTAAATGCTTAACCTTCCACTGCATTGAGTTATCCAGTGTGATTCTCTATGGCCTAGTAGAACAAATGACACAGAGGAACAAATGTAGAACAAATGACACACTTTTTTTATTTAGGGGTTACCTACATTAGGGTAGCTCACAAAAAGAAGTGAAAAAGAGAAAGAAAATCTTTGCTTTTATTCCTCTTTTTTGAATTGTCTCCAGCTTTTCAACTTTTTTAATGTAAGCACAGTACTCAAGTAGTGATTTTAGTGTCACGCACAAAGGAAGCGTCGCCTCCTTCCTCCTGCTTACTGTCCCCCTATTAAAGCATCTAAGTAAGCGTGTTCAGTTCTGTCACACTGTGTGGTTACCCAGGGAAGTGGAGCAGCCGAGCAGCATTCAAGAATAGCATGCTACCAAAACGGTTGTTAAAGCTCTCTTAGAAGCTAGAATGAAGAAATTAAATGCAGCAAAGCACAACCTATTTTAAGTGAACTGTTTTGATAGCCTACACTTACATAAAGGGAAAACTAAAGGCTTAAATCAGCTTCTGTACAGCCCGAACTGTTTTGTGTTGCAAATGAAGCRGCGGAGCAGATGGGCTCGCAGGCACACCCCTTATCAGCCATTTGCCTCCTGATAATGCAAATTCTTCAGGGAGCAGGAGACACTTTGTCATTAAACAGGCTYCCACCAGGATATAAATAGTACCTTTCTATAGCAGACGATATGGATTTATATGGTATGGTGGCGTGTGCCCTTCGTGGTAGGATGGAGCAAACCTTGCTGGACCACAATTAGAAACACAGAATAGTTGGGGTTGGAAGAGGCTCTGGAGGTCATCCAGGCCAGCCAGCCTCTCCCAGCAGCATCTGCAGCAGGCAGCTGCCTTTGGAGGCTTACGCCTGCTTAGAAGTGGTGGGAATGACAGGGAAGAGGTGATGAGGGAACGACCGCTGTTCTTGTTTTTCCCAACAATACAGGAATTGAAGAGTTTCCTACTAACTTACCAGGTTACCAGGCTAAAACAAGCAAAAAGGATATAATTTTAAAACCTTTTTTTGATTTCATTGTAGAATGAGCTGCTACAGGATGTTGTGGAGTCCAAAGAGAAATGAGATGAAAAAGGAGTTTTAGCAAGTCATGTATTAAACCAGGTTCTGTGTGTGCAGAGTCAGGGAGTATTACCCTAAGGATGAGACGTTTTTAATGATCTTCCCTGGCACATGCTACCAGCCGTGCTCCGGCCACTTGCCCTCTTTGAACTTTGATCTTTTATCAGACCTTTTATCTGTTTTTGGTTAAATCAGATTAAAACCAATAGTAAAGTGAGATTTTAGCCATGCTCATCTGTCAGCAGATGTGTCCAAATGTGTCCAAATACTGTCTTTTTCTCTTGAAAGGTAGAGGATGAACTGGTTGCCCTGCAGAAGAAGTTGAAAGGAACTGAAGATGAACTGGACAAGTACTCGGAGGCTCTCAAAGACGCCCAGGAAAAACTGGAGCAGGCCGAAAAGAAGGCGACTGATGTACGTGCAGCTCGTGGCAGTGTGTAACGAGTCTGTGTGAGAGGGAATCACTGAGTCTCTGCCCTGCAGGGCTCTCGGCAGGGATTGTAAAATCTGTATTGGGGTTCGAGGCTGTGTCTGTGCCAAAGTGAGCTTGGGGCTCGGGCACCGGCACCGCGCAGTGGGGACAGCAGCTGGAGCAGGAACAAACTCTTCTGTGGCGCAGAGAGGGGGTCTGAGGCAGCTGCGTGGAGCCACCCTGGCGCGGGATGCSCTTGTCGGCATCCTCTTGGGTTCAGGAAAAGAAAGGAGGAGTAAAAGGAGGGGAGCAGGAGGGTCCTGGGGCGTCCRGCTCCATGGTGGTGATGTCATCAGCCCACCTCCAGCGGCCTGACGTCATGGGTCCCTTGAAAGGTGCGGGGTGGCGTGCGCCACGTGCAGCCGCTGCCGAGCCCATGGCCGCGCTGCTGGACGCCGCAAGGAGGAAGATGCAGGGCCTGCAGTGCGAGGATCCATAGCCCCAAAAGCGTGTCTTAAAGCAAAAAGCCCTTCTTTAAGCTGCCAGTTTGCTCACCTGTCCAGCGTGTGGGTCTACCCAAACTGGAATACGTAAGTGCTTATAAGTAACACTGATTTTTAGTTTCGTTTTCTGAAATAGTGAGTGATTAAAGGACCCATATCCTAATGAACACGATATATATGGAGACTAATTGTTCCTATTGTTGGTACTCAAGTTTGGCGCCCAGCAACCTCTCCATTTTTATCTAGTCTGCTTTAAACAGTAACAGTTTTTCCTGTTACTGCTCAGTTCATTCAATAGTATATAAACAGACCTCAGTATGTAGGAATTAGGCACAAGGTACTACTTAAGTGCCACAGAAAACAATGAAAAAAAAGATTTATTCTAACAACCTACCTAGTTTTGCCTTATTTGTCTCACTGGACACCTGGCTGTCCCGTACTGGAGCTGACCATACCCTCTGCCCAGCTGACTGTACAGATTACATAGCATTTACCAGCTAAGGAGCCYGTAATGGATAATGAAATGGCTTTAATTCCAACAGTGCGCTGTGATAGCGTATTACTGCAAGCTGTAATAGAACCAAGAGCATAAAAAGCAATTGTGGATTTTTTGGTGAATAAGCCATTATGGAAACACTTCAGTTTTTAATTTTACAAGGTTAGAGCTATCTGTAGAATTTCAAAGTGATCTGAARATACTTCACCTTTTTGAATCAATATTTAATTTCTGGTGGTATGGCAGGGGTGATTAAAAAGTATCATTAAAACAGAAATAAGAAGCACATACTCTGTACCTTCAAATTCCTGAAATGCTTCAGTTTAAGCCAACAAGGAGCCTAGAGGAGAAAGTTTCCTCGAGTTTCCTTGCGTATGGCAAGGAAACGTGCAATTTCCAGGAAATCGATTAATAGGGATTTTTGTTGGCGGGAATGGTCTCCTRTACGAACTCAGTTCCAATGATTATTTCTTGCAGGCTGAAGGTGAGGTGGCAGCTCTGAACAGACGTATCCAGCTCGTGGAAGAGGAGCTGGATCGTGCCCAGGAGCGACTGGCTACAGCCCTRCAGAAACTGGAGGAGGCTGAAAAAGCAGCCGATGAGAGCGAGAGGTTTGCTTCCCTTCTCTGGGTGTGGGGACAGGGTTGGCAAGAAATAAAGGTGAATGTAAATCAAACATTTCCCTGTTAATTCAGTGTCTACATGTGCAAATATGTACTGCRGGTCAGTGACTCAGAACTAGAGCTGCCTTTTTAACTAGTTTAAAACACAATTCTGGTAGCCTCGCAGAGCGTGATTGTTTGGATTGGTCACTACGGGGTYGCTTTTTAGTTACCAACAGTGAAATCCACTTAGGGCCTTTGAGATAAAGTGATAAAAAGCTTCTGTGTTAAAGATGCTTGCTTTGATTTCTGCAGAGGAATGAAGGTTATTGAGAACAGAGCAATGAAAGATGAGGAAAAAATGGAGATTCAGGAGATGCAACTGAAGGAGGCTAAACACATCGCTGAAGAAGCCGACCGCAAGTACGAAGAGGTAAAATGAAGCCCTCATGAGGAAATGATGATGCATGTATGAGGACTACAAACAACTTTGTTACCGTTCAGTTCTTCTTTGTCTACTTTCTGCCACATGATAGCTTGACTTTGGCTTATTGCCAAAAACTGCAGTTCTGACAGTGACTACAGCAGTGTCTGTAATGCGTAATGCTAAGGATGCTGCAAAGTCTACTCGCTTTGAGGGAAAGTCTCTGCCTTGTGTGTTCAGCGCTGTTTGTTTTATTCTAGTTTACGTGAGCAGTGGGGAAGCAGGAGGTCGTAGTCCCTCGTGGTGCTTTGAGGCAGTTACCAGCTGGCTCGATGCAGCTATTTTCTCTTTCCAGGTTGCCCGTAAACTAGTTATTTTAGAGGGTGAACTGGAAAGAGCTGAAGAGCGTGCGGAGGTGTCAGAAGTGTGAGTAGTTTCACATACCTGGGCCTAGTTTAGAGTACAGCAAAGCTGGACAGGGATGGTGGTGRTAATCTGTACCTTTTTTATCCCCTGTAGTAAATGTAGTGACCTGGAAGAGGAATTAAAGAACGTCACTAACAACCTGAAGTCCCTGGAAGCCCAATCTGAAAAGGTTGGTTCTCTCCGTCAGCTGAGGGATGGTGGGGGAAGCCAAAACATGTCATTAAAATTCCAAAAAAAAAAAAAAAAGAAGTTCCTTTGCTTGTGTAACAGCAGCTATTGATAATGTTGTGTCAGCCTCAGCCTTAAAATGACAGTAAATGAATCATCTTGAGAAGTCTTGGCAAAGAGGAGGAACGTATGGGAAGGGTGTTTGCAGCCAGCATAAATGAAAAAGTGGTTATTAATAGTTTGGTTTTTTTCATAAACATTACTGCTACCACAACTTCCCTTACAGAATCTGTTTATTGTTTTCACAGTACTCAGAAAAAGAAGATAAATATGAAGAAGAAATCAAGCTTCTGACTGACAGGCTTAAAGAAGTAAGATGATCCATCCCCGAACCGTACAGCATTTTGTTAACAGCATCCATTTATTCTGTGTGTTTTTAATTTTTTAAATTGCTTTTGTTTTAGGCTGAAACACGTGCTGAATTTGCAGAGAGAACAGTTGCAAAACTAGAAAAGTCCATTGATGACCTGGAAGGTATGAAATTGCTCTYGGGGTCCTGATCTTATAGGTCTTAAGTTTCAATTCAGAAAGCAACATTCCAGAAGTGGGTATCACATTTTATTGGGAAAGCACAAAAATACTCATCAGGTCTCTAGTTAGACCAGTGTGAGACAACTGAGGAGCACAGTGCACTGCTGCCCAGCCTGGTGCTTCCTGACAAGGGAATTTTCTTGAAAGACGCTCCCCTTTGGAAAGTTGCTACTAATAACCGGTCTCTAGCCAGCTCACTAATGCGTGTACCCAAAGGGGCTTTTCTATTTATAAAGAATCATAATCATAAGAATTTAATCTGATTACTGAAGAACAAATACCAGAGTTGGGGGGAGACATAAGGGAAGCTTCTGACCTTGTGTGTTTTCTTGCTGTCACGCTGATGTTTGGCTACTCATCCGTTTTCTTCTTTTATTTCTCTCCCAATTACTTTACTTGCTGCGTTCTGACTCTCTGCGTCCTCTGCTGCCCCCTTTTCTGGGCTGCTTTTCTGCACCTCTTGCTGAAACTCGCCTGGGCGCCGGCAGATGAGCTCTACGCTCAGAAGCTGAAGTACAAAGCGATCAGCGAGGAGCTGGACCACGCGCTCAATGACATGACCTCTCTGTAAYGCGCCAGGCCGGGGCTCGCTGCACTTGTCGAGCTTTTCTTTCCTCTAATTCCTGTCACCTCTGTGCAACTTCCAGCTGCGATTCTTCACTTTTCTCTGTAGGAAACGCTTTCAATAAAAATGAGAAACATCTGGCTTGAGGCTTTCTGCTTTTTTCCTCCCCATCCACACAAAACAGGCTGTTGATGCTGTGGGGACACTCAGCTGCTTGTGCTGGGGCCAGGCCCGCCGTGACCGCAGTGCAGGACGAGGCCGGGAGCRACGACCCAGCCGTGCCCTGGTCGGCACTGAGGAGCTGGGTCAGCGTCGGCTCCTGGGGAGCCGGGACCGGACCGGACCGAGGTCCTGGGCTTAGCGCCCCCGGCACCGTGCGGCTCCGAGGCGGCTCCACTCCTCCTGCTTTAACATTCATGGAATAGCGGGAACTCCCCCAAATGAGACGTTAAACCCCAGCGCGGGTCTGTCACACCGCACGCGGGACACATGCAGAGACCCTGAAATAACTGTCCGGCCCCAATCCCTAGGTTGCAACTCTGGGATTCTCCTAAAGATAGGGTTTGTATTTAAAGAAAAAGGGCAGAAAAATGTGGGTTTTGTTTTTCTTTCCAGAAAGCCTGGCAGAGGCGAGAGAAGCGAGTCTGCATCAGACACCGGCCAAGCGCTCAGCGAGCTGCGCTGTGTATGAAACGGGCGGGCGACGGGCGCACCCCCCCCGCACTGCCGGGGCGCCCCGGGCCCCTCTCCCGTTAAAGCAGCCTCGTCCCGAGCCGCTCGCTGCGCGCTGACGTCACCCCGCGCGCCGTGACGTCAGCAGCCCTTGCGGGCCGTGACGTCACAGCCCCTCGCACCGCCGCCGGAAGCGGCCGAGCGCCGCGCGGCCAGCGAGGTACCGCCCCGTCCTTCCTTTCCTGCTCGGTGACGTGGCGCCCGGCTCGGCCAATGGGGCGCGCGGCGGGCGCTGACGGGCAGCGCGCGCGGCCCGTGAGGCGGCGCGGGGGGCGGGCCCGGGGGGCGGYGCCGGGAACATGGCGAAGACCTACGACTACCTGTTCAAGCTGCTGCTCATCGGCGACTCGGGCGTGGGCAAGACGTGCGCGCTCTTCCGCTTCTCCGAGGACGCCTTCAACGCCACCTTCATCTCCACCATCGGTGCGCGGCGCCGCGCC